AGATAGATAGATAGATAGATAGATAGATAGATAGATAGATAGATAGATAGATGGGGTGGATGGGGATAGATAGATAGCTCGATATGTGTTATGCTGTGATTATCTATCTTTCTGTCTATCTATCTAATCACTTTGCAACTATTAACTAATTATTCTGGGACTGTCCTGTCCCAAAGCAATGCCATGCATCCAAAGTCAGTGAGCATTTGGGCCTTTGAAATCTCCTGGGCATCCTTAGGCTGGGATATTTGCTAGTGAATTGCAGGAGACAGGATTGGAGTCTAGGTTTTGCATTATTAATGATTGATAATGTATTACCCCTTTGTGGACACAAGCGGGTTTTGTTCTGCGAGGACAAATGAACTGCACCGGTCGGGGGTTTGTGTGTGGAGGCGTAAGAGAGGGAGAAGTGTGTGTGTGTGTTGGGGGGGGGGATCATCCTTGTCTAATTACAAGTCAACATCCTTTCTGCAAGAGAGAGATCACAAAAGCAGGAATTTCATCTGCACCAGCCAGATCAAAGCCCATTTAGCCCCGGGCTCGGGACTAATGTTGCTGAAAATCACAGCAATGTAGCCCTGCTTGCGGTTCCTATGTGCTGTGAGTCACGGACTCCCTACGTTTCGTGAGTGTGTGTGCAGTGGGCATTGATGGGGCGGCTGGGGTTGGGATTTCTCGCCCCTTCCCTTCTGCTGCCATGAAACAGCTGGTGCTGCTGTCACCGGGCAGGCAGCCCCGGGCTGTGGGGAAGGAGGGCTGGACGGGTAAAGCGGGGGGAGAAGAAGTTGAGTGGCTGCTGCCCCCCCCCCACTCCCCCAGAGCCGGCTCGGAGATGCTTTAGTCACTTTCAGGGGGGTGGCTGGCGAGGAGTCAGCAGGAGGGCTGACGGGCTGAAGATGCTCGTTCAATTTCCACGCGGTTACCTTGGCTGGGGGCGGGGACTCTGGCTTGGCCGCTCCGCCCCCTCGGTGGCTATATACAAGGGGGGAAGAGAGACCCCCAAGCATCAGAGTCTCCCAAACTCCAGCAACTCTTCCAAGGGGAACTAACTTCAGCCCTCGGCCCTTGCTGCTCTGCAGACTTCGGCCAGCGCCCGCCTGGAGCCAGCGGACCCCTCATCCCATGTTAGTGAGTTACTTAGTTCGTTAGTTAGTTACACGATTTTTCTTTCCTCCCCCCGCCGCCTGGACCAGCGGAAGCCCCGCGAAGTTTGTTCCGCGCTCGCCATGAATTTAAGGCACGCGTCTGGGGGCGCATGGAAAACCCTGGGCTTGCTGGCGCTGATGCTGCTGCTCGATCCGGTAGGAGCCTGGTACAAGCACGTGGCCAGCCCCCGGTACCACACGGTGGGCCGAGCTTCGGGGCTGCTGATGGGCATCAGACGCTCCCCGTACCTGTGGCGCCGGGACTTGGGGGATGAGCCAGGAGAGAGCCCGGGCTCGCCCCCCACCGCTGTGAACAGGGCGCCCAGGTTACTGCAGAACCGCAGGCAAGACCTCAGAGCAGCCGGGCCGCGGACCCAGGCATCCGGGGTGCCAGCCCCGCGCCCCGCCAGAGGCGAGCTCCGTGGGAGAGAACCCGTGGCCCTCACGCGGCTGGGTCTGCAGGACTTAATAGCCAGGCGAACAATCGCTCAGCACCGGGGCCCCCTGCAGACAGGTGCCAGCCTTCTCCCGCAGCGAGCCCGAGCGCTGCCCGCCCCGCAGGGTCCCTGGAGCCGAGGAGGGACCCGGGAGAAGAAGAGGTCAAAGCTCCTGGAGACGGTGATGAAGCAGCAGCCGCAAGGCAGCGAGGAGGGGATCGGGGACTTAAGGTAAATCTCCCCCAGTAAGTATGAGGCTAGAAAAGCCATCTCGCTACTCCAGGGGGGGAGAGAAACCAGCCCTCACGGGGCTGCAGGGTCCCCGGAACCGGGCTTCCCCGGGTGGCCATGCTTTGAACTAGGGGGTCGGTTGAGCGGCTAACACTTTACTTCGTTAATGGCATGATGGTGAGGATGGGTTCCCAGCGGGGACCCGCTGCCGGGGCTTCAGCAGAGCCCTCCTTGCCCTCACAACAGAGACACACACCGGCACAACAGCCCTTCCAGTCTCACTCATCTGTCCCCTGATCACTCCGCTCCTCTCCTTGCGGACTCACCCTGCTCTGAGCGCCTGATGCTAAGCCCCATGGCCGTCCTTGGCGCGGATTTCAATGGGTTGGGGATCCGGTGATGGTTTTATTCCAAACGGTTTAAAGCTGTGACCTAGTGAGAGTTTCCTGACCAGGCGGAAGCAGCCGCAGTTCCGCTGTTTGCTGTAAATCCACCTGAGAAGGGAAATCAGCGGATTTACTGATCACAGCAGAGCTTTGGAGGTGCCAGGAAATTCCTGAAACCAGCGATTCAACCGGAGACTGAGATGAACAGTTTTGTCTCTCAGCTCTGAGCCGAACAATGGAATTTTCTTGGAAACCTCTTGGTCGGTGGCTGCTCGCTTCTGGTTTGTACCTTCCTCTGGTTTGGTGGCTGGGGATACAGGCTATTTGGAAGGAAGCATACACAGAAGTTAGTTGTAGACAAAGATTTCTGTGCAGTGCTGAGAACTCGGGATTATTAAATGATGCGCTATTGTCAGGGGGTTGGGCAGCAAGAAAGCAAGATGACCAGGTCAGGTCCTTCACAGCACTTACCCTGAATATTCCTCCGGGATGAAAGAGACGGAACTAGCAATCCAGCACCGAGCCTATCTGGGTGTGTATAGGAAAGGCACCAAAACGCCGCAGTCAAGACTTGTCCCGTTCTTTCTCAAGGCTCGGGAGCTTTAATTGAACACTCAAGAGATGTAACAGAGGGTCCTGTGGCGCCTTTGAGACTAACAGAAGTATTGGGAGCATAAGCTTTCGTGGGTAAGAACCTCACTTCTTCAGATGGAGATTTCCATTACTTGCATCTGAAGAAGTGAGGTTCTTACCCACGAAAGCTTATGCTCCCAAT